GCGGCGACATCTTCGTATCACCTCGGCGTGGGTGCCTGCCACTGGAATGTGCTAGCGGTCGAAGAACTTCCTGCGGGGATCATATGCCGCAACAAACGCTTAATGCTATAATCCCTATAACTTCCAAAACGCAAGTCCCACGAGTTGTTGCCTCCCAATTCAACTTTCTCAGCACGGAACTACCCCCCCCCCTCCGCACCCCTTTCCCATTATATTCCATTTTGAGTAAAGTGTAGTCCCTAGGGGGGGGGGACTACTACTACTACTACTACTACTACTATTACTACTACTACTACTACTACTACCACTACTACCATTACTACCACCAGAAACTGGTACCACCAGTACGGACAAAGAACTTATCCTCTGGCCCAAAAGACGTTGCCAACTGCGAAATGTGATCAGCAATGACATCCCAAAGGCCAACTGAATCACAGGATAACTCAGGCTCCGAGTGCCCTTTGCCCTTAGCACTGAACCAAGGCATCACGAGAGGGATTGGGAATGAACTCGAAGACATCCAATCGGATGTCCAGCTCACTCAAGTCGCGTGGAATTAAAGAAATCAGCTGAGTTATTGTTTCATCAGACATCTGCTTCAGGTTGCTATGGCATCGTTGTTCAACATGATTCCGCAAATCTGCATAGCTTGCTGGGCGGGCAATCTTCAGCACCGTCCTGGGCGACGTCACGCGCTCATGATTTGTTTTTTCAGGTTCGGGTTTTGGGGTTTAGGACTAAGGGATTCCAACCTCTAAGCTTGAAAGAAGACTCCGAATTGCCGGGCTAAAGTATTCTGTCGTGATTGGACTGTTCTACCAAGCCCTACACCCTGAAACCCGTGGTAGGAAGAAGCAATGATAACTAGGTGTCCGTGCCTCAGCCTGTGGCCCTGAACCCCTTAACGTGGGAGTGGAACCTGCCCACGAGCAAGCAAATCAAGGGCTAATGACAAGATGTAAGGGTTTCCAAACAAATCAAGGATCTTTTTTGGGAGGGACTGCTATTACAAGAGCTACGCGATAAGGAGGCCCCCATCATTGGCGATAGGACTTCTCCTAAACCCTGAACTCTCATGCAATAAGCCGTGCGTCGTGGGTTTGGAGGAAGCTGTGGCGCCACCGTCCTTCTCAAAGCCAACGGAGTAGTAGATGCGATTGAATTCCTCCGAGGCTTAAGGGGCAGGATTTTCATCGGCTTGGATCTGGGATTACTCTCAGGGCCGCTATTTTAATGCTACACAGAGATTACTGGAGGTATGCACTTCTTGTGACGGGTGGTTGCAAGTCATCACGGGGAGAAAGTTCCCTACTTTCAGAACTCCTCATTTTGTGGCAACTTCTATGTGGTGCAGCGGGGATGCCGGCAAGCTAGCCCCAATTGGAACGTCCTCGTTTCCGAAGAGCGAGGAGGTTTGCGAGAAGCCTGGGCGGAAGGATGACCACATTGGTACAAAAGCTGCAAGGAGGGTTTGGGGTTTAGGGTTCAAGGTTTAGGGTTCACATTGGTACACAACTTGCAAGGAGGATTTAGGGCTTAGGGTTCGCCATGCGTTGCCAAAAAATAAATTCAAAAAACGAAGATCCTAGATGTAGGGTACAAAGGTTCTTCACGAAGGGAAGTCCATATGTAGTCCCCCTTAAGTAGATAGAATATGGTTATATGGGGACCTCTTATACTGTACCCAAAGCCATATTCTATCTACTTAAGGGGGGCTATAACCTCGCAAGGAATCCTTTGGCTTTCGTGTCCTGATCCCGGAGCCTAAAGCCTTTTCAACTCTCTGGCCATGTGCATGCCAATTTGGGATCACTTTCTAAAACCACCGTTTGTGGGTGAGGTCGGGTGAGGGTGTCATAATTTGAAATGCAAACTTCCAGGATCCAAGGAGCTAAACCACATGGCTCTTCCATGCGGGCTGAGCACGCGGGAGAGCTCCTCACGCAAGCACGCTGGGGGGTTCTCGAGATCGGGGGAAACTTAGGGGGATTATACATGGGGATTATATAGGAACATATAGCCCCAATAAGGGAGCCAAATAGAGAAGAACATGGAACAGGAAATAGAAACCGGCACGGTGTGCACTGATTGGGTTTGCAGAAATTATGGGGAAGAGGGTCCCTCGAATAAAGATGTTACATTAGGTGGACCCCCCGCCCTGTAATAGTGGCAGAATAGCAAGGTAACTAAACCCTATGATTAACAACATCACTTATAATCACTATTACTGTGTGGGGGTCCACCTAAGTGCTACATCGTATTTTGCCAGATTGGCCCTCCAATTTGTTTAGAAAGCCCAGCGTCTGTGTAGGGGCGTCTGAAAAAATGACGCCTGGAGCACTCTGAAAAAATACCCGTCTCAAACCCCAAGCTCTAAACCCAACGCCCCAAGCCCTCCTAAACCCTAAACCTAGAGCTCTACGCGCACTAAAACCCTGGACTCCTGGTCCAAACTCACTCTGTCCATGAAGTGCACCGCGAAGGTCGAGATAACAAGGTCTAAACTCCTTGGTTGCTTTCAAGGAACTTAAGCTAAGTTAACATAATGGGTATATATATATATAGTAAATAAAAAAGGTTTCCCCAATATGGTACCCTAAACCCTAGATTGTACTCCAATATAGTAACTTAACCTAACCCTAGAAGCCCAGTTACCTATATATTGGGTTCTTGTCCTTGGGTCCCTGTATAAAAATATACTATTATCTATAACCCAAGAACCTACTATATGGGTACCTGCCCTAAACCCTAAACCCTAAACCCTAACCTAAGTTCCTTAACAGCAACCCAGGCTCTTGTCAGGCCGAGCCCGCAAGAATTCCACACCATCGCTTTTCACGATTCTCAGTGGCAAGGTTTAGGGTAATACCAACTCAACGAGTCATACGTAGGTACATAGTATAGGGTAGTCTAGGGTTGAGGGTTCGGGGTTTAGGGGCAGGCATCAGCAAGGGCCAGCAAGGGATTCTACGAGGATTTTGGGGGATTTGGAGGGGATTCTAGAACGGGTATACAACTCTTGCTAGGATTTAGGGTTCAGAGTTATTTTGGGAACTCACATGAAAAAGTGAATGGAACATGAATTAGAGACTGGGCTTATACAGGGTTCTAGGCATCTATATCAGGTATTTCAAGGATTTTGCAAACCCCTACCCTTGTCATAAGCACCACGTGAAAACCATGGCGTCCTTATTTGGCGCTTGGTCTACCGAAACCTCATGGCTCTCAGCGGGGCACAAGTGAGCAGATCTTACAGCGTGACGTCTCATAAATGGAGTTGCAACACTTACGTCCCAAGAATTGCTTCAGCATAGCAGTGATTTCGCAGGCCGTCATTTTGGCGGGATGTCGCCCATCTAGAGATAGGCCCTGCAGCGCCCCTAGATCGGAGGCCCTCTGAGTGTCTGATTTCCTCCCTGTAAGCCCCCCACCGTAAGCCCTGAAACCTAAACTACCCTAAAACACGAAGTACAGATCTGACTTGCAAGCAGGCAGCACGTCTGCACAGTGCTCCGGAGGGAAGGGATCCTAAGCTCCAGCAAGCAGGGCTTGAGGGGTTTCAGGTTTAGGGTTGACTTTCGCGAGTAGCCCAAGAATGGAGAGCATGGAATTTTCCAAAGAGACCTGCTTCGGAACATGAACGTACTGCACGGGATTCTCCAGAAATATGGGTTTTTCTTCATGAGGGTCGAGGCAGCAAGGTGGAGGAGAATGTTTGGGGTGCATGATATGGGGGGGGGTACCTTATTGGGGGTCCCTATAATAAAGACTATGTCATTTTTGGGTCTATATTGGGGTCCCCCTATTTAGGGAAACTATCATATGCCCCGAATTCAAAGCAACAAGCTCTGTAAATCTGCAAGCTCAAGCCAAGGTTGCTCGGTGTTGTTGGGCCCCACCACGATTTGGGGGTTTCCCAAAATAAGAGGTGCGTTTTCGGATGTCCCCATACTAAGGATTACAATATTTAGGGGTCAATATTGGGGTCCCCCTAGCTTGGGAAACTACTACTTTGAATTACTTCTCATCTGGATTCAAATTCTGGGCCCTTTCAAGGCACTCTCTCTCTCTCTCTCTCCTACTTGGTGCCTATCATCCTTCACCCTGAAAAATGAAAGCCCCTACGGTTTCTCAAGGCTACGGGCTTCTTCTGAATGCCTCCCAGCATCAAGTCCCCTACTGTGAGGACCAGCATCCAACCCTTAAACCCTGAGACCAGAACCCGCTCGTGTCCTCCATATATCAATTCCGTTGATACAAAAAATCCTGCGTGCCTCTTGGTGTCTGTTTTTTAATATCACCAGGAGGCGCCCCTAGAACCTCAACCCTAAACTACCTTATTTGCGAATAAAGTAAGCCTAAACCCTAAGCCCCCAAAGCTAAGCTCTAAGACCTGAAGCCCCAAAATCCTGAAACCTCGACCCTAAAAACCTCAAACGTAAACCCTAAACCCTTAAACCCTAAACCCTTCTTTGAAAATCCTGCCATGTGCAGGCCAAATCTCCACGTCAATCATGGTCCCGGCCTTCCAGACAGGGTCTGAGGTTTAAGGTTTAAGGGTTTAGGGTTTGAGGGTTTAGGGTTAGGATTTAAGGTTTAAGGGTTTAGGGTTTAAGGGTTCTGAGGTTTAAGGTTTAAGGGTTTAAGGTTTTTAAGGTTCTGGTTTTAAGGAACCAGCGTTTAGGGTATAGGATTTAAGGTTTAGGGTTTAGGGTTTTGAGGTTTAGGGATTAAGGGTTTAGGCTTCTGAGGTTTCAAGAGTTTAAGGGTTTGGGGTTTACGGGTTTAGGTTTCTAAGGTTTATAGGGTTTAGGGTTTAAGGGCTTAGGGTTCTGAGGCTTAGGGTATAGGGTTTAAGGTTTTAGGGTTTTAGGTTTAAGGCTAATTAGGGTTTAAGGTCATCCCACGCCACCAGGGGGCTAAGGTGAACAAATGATATAGGTTTAGGAATCGCTATGAAGGGTTTGGAATTTTGGACTAGTGGACTACTGGTTTAGATGGCTAGCAGCTAAGGTTTAGGAATTAGGGTCTAGGGCTTGGTTCATGTACTTACAGTTCAGGCTTTCTAGATCTTTGTTCAGGCCGGCGCGTAGGGCTAAGAACTTAGGGCTCAGGGGCCGATAGAAGGATGTAGCCCTTACAGTAGCAGTTGCCAGAAGGAGTATTAATCAGTATTAATAATTAGGAGTCAAAATAGGCCCCTAGTAAACCTCCCTTTTTCACACGGACACTTACTAGCGGAAACGACCCAGGGCGTAGTGCTGTGAAGATGGCTGGGCTTCTTCATGACCGAGACACTTGTTTAGGCTTCATGCCCACAGACCTCCGATCTGAAAAAGCTCAAACTTAACGGTTTAAGCTTAATGTTGAATCCCGACTAGTGTGGGGTTCCCTAATTGTGCGAAGTTTCGCCGAAATTATTCAGCACCCCCCAAGTTCGTTTGGGGTCCCCT